GTAGTAGTAGTAGTAGTAGTAGTAGTAGTAGTAGTAGTGGTAGTAGTAGTAGTAGTAGTAGTAGTAGGTAGTAGTACTAGTTGTAGTGCAGATAAGATCTTATAAATTTTAGCGCTCACCCCGTACAATTATACAGCTCTGGACGCTTTACAATACAGCCATCTGAAACAAGGTACATTATGCATAAACATGCACTACTTAGATGAACGTTGGCATGTAAGCAATAAATGTTAATACTTTCAAAGGACAGTCAACGACAATTTTCATTATTATTATGACATTATGAACGCAAGAGTTCTATGAACAGGAAGGACATTATCTCGATGTCACTTCATAAGGCATGTTAAAAAATGCTTTTTTTTGGTGTTTTATGATTTTGGACCTTGCCTTTTTTTTTTCATCAAGGGGATATGATATTATTGTTATTGCTGTAGTAGTCCCAAGTACGAGTAGCTGTCATCTCCTTTGGGGTCACGAAGGTTCTTTTTTCTTATCTGGTATTACAATAAGTGAGATGTATTCAACATTTGATCAACTATTCTTGTCGCTTTTAAGTATTGCGATGACTAAGAAAAATCAGTTTGACTACTTTGTCTCACCATTTCCTAGCACTGCGATGTGTTAACGTTTGACTTGTTATTCGTGTTTTGCTGAAGCTTCCAATAAGAAAATCATCCGAGTACTTATTTTATTATATTTTTGTCCTAACCCTCTTTATATCTGACACAACAACTAAATCAATAACAGTATACCTTGTACAATGTAGGTGTTTTTGAGTCTCCCTCACCCCCCAAAAAAACCCCCAACTGATACTACAAAACAATAAAAACAATAACAAACAAACAAACAAATAAACAAAACAACAACAAAACAACAACAAACAAACACAAAGCCCAAAACAATCAAACAAACAATAAAAAAAACTCCCAACAAAAAACAACAACCCCAAAACAAACAAAACAAAACATAAAACAGAACAAAGCAAATCTACACAATTAATTTAGATAATTTCGGAGGCTGGATTCGACCAAACCATTTAGGGTCAACCCGCGACTGAGAGGGAAATACTCGATAAAAATTCTCCTCACTCGGAAGTCGAACTCGGGTCTCCAGCGTGCGATAGCGAAGCGCTTAACCGCTACACCACAGGCCCTTTGTAAATAACAGCATGCTTCGTTATCACCAAACTGAACAAATGTAGTAACAGTAGAGATGAAACAACTACATTAGAAATAAACCACCAACGTAAACAACGCCCTTACCACTGCACCCAAAGCATTAATGCTAGAGCCAACAACATTACGTTTTTGAAAAAGCCTAACGTTACCTAAACAACAACAACAACAATAACAACAACAGCAACAACAACAACAACAATTAGAACAGCAACAGCAGCGGCAACAACAACAACAACAACAACACCAACAACAACAATAATAACAACAGCATCATCATCAACTACAACAACAGCAGCAGCATCAGCAACAGTAGCAACAACAACAACAACAATAACAACAAACAACAACAACAACAGCAGCAGCAACAACAACAACAATAACAACAACAACAATAGCAACAAACAACAACAACAACAACATCTACAAAACAAACAAACCCCTTTTCATCGCGTGACCTGCACCACCTCCCCTACTGTCACCACTACCGACGATGATGACGACAATATCCAACATCACCACCAGCACCTTCACTAACTACGCCATCATTAGTGATAAAACTTCGAATAAAATGACACCAACAATGAAAATAACACTACCCTCTAATCACAACTAAGACAGCTTCAGTAGCAACAACAACAACAACAAAAACAATAACAACAACAACACAAGTCATGATAATAAATCAATAAACACACCGCAACAGATGAACTTATAATAAAAGTACTATCTGACCTTTTCAATCCCCTAATAATTATAACTTAAGAACGCTTTATCATACTTACTAAAAAAGACGCGTTCGTCATGGCCCTTTAAATGACTGGGAAGTCTTTAAAATATTATGAATAAATAATAACCCCCTCAGCCCCTTCTCAGTGATCACTAAACTCTGTTCTTCATTACTACGTCAGACCGTCTTCCTCATCCTTGTCTTTTTTTTTCTATTCCAGAAGACTGCAGTTCGATGGAGGCTTCTGAAATCCAGTCTTTGATCGCCAAAAGTAGAGAAGCTCTCACTTTTGCCTACTGTCCCTACAGCAAGTTTAAAGTCGGCGCAGCATTGTTGACCAAGGAAGGCAAAGTGTTTACAGGTTCCTCGTCGTTTCGTTAAGCTGCTGTGTCCTGTATTAGCGTGTTTACGTTCCCAGTTCTGTTTGTTTTTGTGCCGTTTCGAACTTTTCTAGATGCGGTAAAGATAAACTTTAACCCCCTCGTACTCAATCTACGGTCCTACTACGCACATCCTGGGTCTGAACACTCTCCCAGGGACAACATTTTGGTTGTTTTTCACAAACGGATCTTAAAATGTCGTGAATCTTGGCTCTTTGCCATTCAGTGCGCATTCAAGTACCAACTTTCAAGTGGTAGGACTACATGCTCGCCCTGAAAGGATTGCATTCCAATGACTCCCCCACGCATATGTGACAAGTGAGAACACTCGCAATACAAAGTGTTAAAGGCGCTACGGGCAGCAGATAACGGTTTTTGTGAAGAACGACGTAAGATGTGTGTCTGAGGTAAAATTAAGACCGCAATAAGTTTAAAACAGTTACAACAGTTACAAATGATTAGCTGCACGTAACCTGCAAGCTTTTTAACTCGAGTTTTGTCATATGATACTTGAAGGCTCTTGACACTAATAGAATTGCACTTGGAGTCTCTCAAAGGCACACTGTCATCTGACTATCTACGTGGGAATGTCACATTTTCTGCTGAACAACAAACGACCAAAAACCCCCCCAAACGAATAAACAGAAACAAAAACTAAAACTAAAACAAAACAACCCCCCCCCCCCGGAAAAATGGTCGCCCCCCAAAAAAAAACAAAAAAGCAAACAAAACAAAAATAAAAACAAAACAAACACAAATTAAAGAATAAAAACCCAACCCAATACTTCTACCTAAACCCATGTGAAGCTAAACGCAGTTCAATCTTGCCAGAGTTCTTTTCTTACCCTGTGCTGAGATTTCCATCTAACATGGCAATAATTTGATTTTTATACACACACACACACACACACACACACACACACACACACACACACACACACACGATCCTTTTATCTACGTAGCACGTAAAATCTTCTTTTGCCTTACAGGAAGCCACGTACCGTTTTCGAAGGCACTTTTAACGTTCACTTTTGGGAAGGAATTGATATTTGAATTTTGCCCAGGCGGTGGCACCGAAAGCTCACTCTTTTCGATTTTAGGGGGGCTGCCCAGTTTGTCACAATTTCATTTAAGTATTTGAGTATTGATGACAGTCATAATTACAGCACTCTAACACTGTAGTGGTCACTAAAGTTTTTATTCTCCACCTCCAAATTGGCGGTGAAGAGATAGTCCCTCTAAAAATGTCAATTCAGCTTGTGTTGTTCAATGTGTCTTCCTTTTTTGTATGCAAATCAAAGGAAATTTAATTACTCTGTAAAATTTCAATAATGAATGTTCTTTTGTTAAAAACAATTGAAAAATAGAATTCAATTCATACGATCAATCAATCATTAATTTACTCTTTTTGAGAGTGTCAGTGATCTTCCTTCCTGCAGAGCACTGTCGAGGCCTATGGCAAACTGGGCCAATGACAAATTGGGCGTGTGACAAACTGGCATGCTACTGATTTTAGAACCGCAAAGGAAACTTTAAGTTATGAAATTGTTGTTTCTGGGGCCACCCTAGAAGACTAATTTATACTGCTTACTTCTACCGAGCTACCTGCGAGGATTGTATCTAGGGCTATGATATGTCAAGCAAGACAAAAACACACCATTATAAAAGTAAGTAAAGTGTCCTTCGCACTGGACGTTACGGCGACAGAGTGAAATGTGGGCCATAGAGCGCGTTGACTTTGACTTTTAAGCCCCTTTACTATATTTCTTTCCACTTTAACTTGCACTAACTCTCGCTCGAGTGGTTGAGGGACTGGATAAGGAGGCGGGGGTGGTGGGG